TCGAAGGTGGAGGGGGGGGGGGCTTGAGGCCTTTGGCTTGGGGCGAAGCCCCAGCCGGATCTCAGCTGAAGAACATGCTTTTATATACGCTGATTTTACGTCTTTTAGCCCACCGGTCAGTGCGTGTAGACCATGAATGCAACAAAAAAGCACTTTTCAACGTAAAAAAGGGGCGAATCCATGCATACGACGGTGCTTTTGTCCAAAAAGTTTGCCCGGGTGGTGACCATTTGGACCGGGGCCTTGACCTTTTCTGTGAAGGAAAGGCCGGGAGGGGGGGGGGGCTTGAGACCTTCCAGCCAAAGCTAGTGCCTCTAAAATACCTAACCGGGTGCCAATTCAAAGTGACGGTACCCTTAAATAGGACTGAAGTCCAACAGTGTTTGATTTAATAGGTAGTCTAGCCAAGGGCCGCCTGGCCCACGTGTAGTATAGGTACCGGTGCATAATGCAGGGTCTTCACGGCTCGCGGGGTGCTGCTGTCGACCGAGGTTTGTCACCATGCTTCTTCTGATCGTCCCTGTCACACAAGCAATGAGCACTCAGGTGATTCAGTTCTAGCTTACCTATATCTTGTCTTGCTGCAAGCCACGATTTCGAGCCTGAGGCAGGTACAATATACCGTATCGTTTGCAGGTTTTGGCGCAGGTTTTTTTAATAGAACCGAGCTAGAGCGAACTAGTAGCTGCTCGTTTGATCAATGCTCAGCATTTCAGTCCACTTTCATTGCCACTCAGCCAGCAGAAAGCAATCTGCGCAATGGCGAGCCTGCAGAGCCGGACCATCTTGCTGGCTCTGGTGTCAGCGGCTGCACTTGTCAGTCTTGTGTCAGCTGATTGTGTTACTGGTGGCTTGTGCACCGGGACCTGCGCTGCAGGTCTGAACCCTTGCTTCAACGCAGATGGGTCTCAGCAGACCTGCTGCACCTCAAGGTGAGTTTTCTTGCACCAGGAGGAGCACTTCGCCTCAACCACTGGGTTGATCAAATGAAGTCTCGTGTGCTGAACTGCCAAATTGTATTATTGCGTGTTCTTTATACTATTGAAAGCATAAGGTGTATTGCAGGCATCGGTGTGGTCTTCAGGCAAGAATCTTGTTTTGCACATTCACATTGATCATATGTTTTGGAATGAGCAAGAATGGCTTTCATACAGGAACGCAGATACCTCTTTAGAACGACCCTGTGCAAATGGACATGTCCTGTCCTTTCTTGCAATATGAAAGACCAGTGAGAAGACAACATTGATGCAAGGAGTTGTTGACTTCACGTTAGAAGTTCTGAGGTAGCCTTGAATTCTATGGATTCTGAAGTTTTCTGTTGTCTCCGATGCCGGACAACCATTGTTGAAGCACTGCTAATGTGCGCGTGGATTTCAAGCCCTCTTTAATTTTGGTCCGGAAGAGTGACAAGTCAATGCTTATATTGATGATTCTACATTCTGCGCACTCAAAACTTCAAAATGCTAATGGCCGATTGTGAGGTGGAGAGGAGTCTGCTGTACGTCGAAAAGCTGAATACACGGAGCAGACCTGGCAATCCCACTTCAAGACCCTGAGCCCCAAACTGTTCTTCCCATCTCCCAGCTCCCAACAATGCAGGCTGGTAGGGGTATTGCCTAGAAAAATTCAAGCAAGCAACTGACTCAGGGCCGTCCCCTGTTTTCAGCTGCCTCAACTGCGACCTGTCCACTGGCAATTCTCCCAGCACGACCCCCGCCCCTACAACGACACCCGCTGCAACCGTCGCCCCCACTCCCACCCCTACCGTTGCCCCCACGCCTGGCCCCACCACAACTCCGGCCCCAACTGCAAATGGCTGCCTGAGCGGTGGGAGGTGCACCGGCTCTTGTGCCTCAGGGCTCAACCCTTGCTACAACGCTGCCAGTGATGGCTCGCAGCTGACCTGCTGTACCTCTGCGTAAGTCATCGCTTGATCTACATGCCATTTTGTTCTGTTCATTTTGTTGTAGGTTGGTACTGCTGGACGACTTCCTCCTGTTTAGTTTCACCAAGCTGGTCCAGGATGCACACCTGGAATAA